CATCTTCTAACATCCTACACATATTAGAAAGAAGAATGAGAGGAATATTTAAATCAGAAGGAGAGGGATGTGGCCAATCACCTTCCTCATGGACAAAAAATTTTTGATTTTATACAGACAAGTAGGTGTTCATCAGATTAGAGTTGAAATAATGCATAAACATTCTCTTTTCTAATAAAAAAAATTCAATCTTAACATCTGAGTTTGAATATTTGTTAACTGTTTCAAGAATAAATAGTGTCAAAGTAAAATTACTGACCTCCTTTTTCCCCTCTGAGGGACTGTTCACACGACTAAGCCTTCTTTTAATTTCGCCCTCATCCATAATCCTCTTACTGATCCCACATAGGCTTTGAATACTCAAGGTACAAGTATGCCTGGGCTTTTCGTCACCTTATAATCACAAAGAGTATCTGGAAGTCTACTAAATGAAAACCACATCATGTATGCAAAGAAATATGTCAAAATTTCTAAAGAACTTGATTATCTTTCATATCTGAGAATTATTTTAAGAAATAACGAACACATCTCTGCCCAAAAAAGTAAAATGATTTTTTTGCACTGGGAACCCTAAATTCTTTCTACAGATGCAGAGAAGACCAGATAGGTAGGAAATAACACCTGTTGAAAGTTTCAGCGAAATGTTCAAGGCCATGATTTCAATGTCATGGTTTTGTCATTCAACTCTAGTTTTTGAAATCATGGCGCTAAGTAGCCTCACCACTGGATGACTAAACGGTGTTTCTTACAAATCTCTTTGCTTCTTACCACCAGCATCTCTTGTGTCTTCGATGGCTTTAAGACATAGTAACTAAGTCTTTCTGCCTCAGAGTGGAATGACAACTGTAGATACAGTGAAATATAATCCTTTGGAATATTCTTCCCTTAGCACTTCACAAAAATCTCTGTAAAATAAAAGCATGCCTCTATATGAACATCCCTCCAGCAGAGATTTGACTTAAATAAGCTCCTTGTTGCCTACCCAATCATACTTCTCAAATAAGTATTATTTTGTTTTTTTAAATGTCCGATGCACCAAATGCTAAGTACATAAAGCAGGCATAAATGAATCATTATAAAATCAACTGAATCAAACCAATTTGCATTTTTAAGTGTCTCATTTTCTTCAGTAAACAAATATTTTGATAGTGGGAAAAACTGGGTGCTGAAAAAGTATCTTTTGGATTAATGAATTTCTTAGAAATTATTTAGATTTCTTTAATTGTACAACAAAAATAATATTTCTCTTGAGTCCAGAACTCTGTCCCTACTTAGAGAAAAGTTTATTGTAACACGAATTCCTGATTTATCAAAGCCTGCTCTAAAGTATAAGAACTCATTTTACTTAACTGTCTCAATTTTCCTTCTCCTACTATCATCTTCCATAGGAATGTACATAAATGATGCCCACACCACTTCCAATAACGTTTTTTCTATACAATGTTTATTTCCGTAGAGTTGGACAAAGGTGTCTGCTCTTCACATGAGCCAGGCATAAGTCTGTCTTTCAATCTCAGATGCTTTGAGTTCTTTATTGGTAAACATCAATTGCTATAGTAAAGCCACAAACGAAGAGAAACAAACTTAGGATGAACTAGATCTTTCTAGGCTTTCCGTCTGGATGACTCCAAAGCCACTTGAGATTGTTATTAAGTTACCCAACAGGTACAGCCCACAAGTCTGGAATAAGAGGATCAGTCACCAAGGTGGGAAACAAGGTCTGAATGAGGCATGGACAGCTATCTTTCTACTTTCTTTTCAGAGGTCCTACACCTTTATCATGTTGTAAAGAACAAACAATGAGAAGAAATTCTCAGATACCTAACCAAAAGGAATGTACAGAGAAAAAAGTCCTTTGTCTAGAAATGTTATCTATGATTCAGAGACACCGATGTTAATGAAAAATGGAATGGTTTCTTCAAACCTCCTTTATTCTGGGTAACCTGGATATAAGGGTAAAATTCTATAAAGTATCCTTCCAGAATGGTCTTCTCCCTAAGTCCAGAAGGGAACATCTCATAATTACCTAAACTCAAAATTTTAGGTAGGATAGTACCTTTTTGAATCACCAAAGGTCAAATGTTACAGGAATGACATCTCCTTAGGAAGCAGTTACAAATATTTATACACATATTTCTAGAGAGACAGTAAGAAGCTGGTTCACTGGAATCTAAAGGCATAGAATTCATGCCATGCCTAAATCACTGAAGTTAAGAAAAGCATACATAATTTAGGAAATGTTCTCTTTGTGAAGGAGTGAAGAAAATACATACTAGATGATTAAGAAATTATAAAAACAAAATTTCTTAGCTTTCAGTTTCAATAGAATAACACTGCCAGATAAATATATAGATATCTAAAACATAACAGGCTGGCCCAAGGTATAAAAATAAAATATTTTCATTCTGAAGTCTGTTACAACTGTCAAAAGATTTAATCATATCACATTAAATTTCTAAATTCTATGCCTCTGAAAAGCAATTAAATGAAAACTAATTAAGCCACCACTAGTTTAGACAGAGAATGAGCTGTCACTGGAAATAGAAGGACAGTTATAAAATGTGCCATAGGAACAATTAAAAAGGCAATACATTTAGTTGTATAAATTGCATGAAGGTAAAACAAAGCAGTGAAGCCCAGTAAGAGGAGGTGCTAGAGCAGTCATATCTCCAAGCAAAAGCAATCAAAACTCCAGAAAAGCATCTTCAGCATATGTAGCTAACTCCAATGCATGGGTCATAATCAGAGAAGCACTTCCTGGTTCATGAGCACTTGTACAAATTTATTAGACTCTTTTAATAGAAGAACCTGAAGCAGAATTTTCCCATTAACTTCTTTTTATAAGGAACCCAAACCATTTAGTCTCTCGTCTTCCTAAATTACCAAAAGAAAAGTAAGTCTATTAGAACAGTGGTCCTATTAGATAAAGTAGATTAAGCTTCCCCAACAAAACATTATTCACTCACTTAAAAAAATGTGTTGAACAAAAGGGATCCAAATCATTTGAGAAGTAGAGAATTATTATTTCATAACAGTCCAATTCTTCATCTATGGGGTTTCTTTAGCTCAAAGTTAGAGAAAGCAGCACACACATTTCACTGCTCTGTCTCAGAAAGGAACTCTGGCTTTCTGGAATGAAAATAGGCTTAGAAAAATAACAACAGAGCTTAGTCACCAAGAAGTCCTTTCTCTACTCAAAAGATTAGTACTTTCGGGCAGAGGCTCACAGCTGTAGAACAATATCCTAGAATCTCCTACAGTGTGTCTCTGCTGCAAATATAAGTAAATCAAGGGCAAAGATCTAGTTCCTTTTTCAAACATCAGTTGAAAAATTCTTCTCACGGCAGATTTAAATCAAATGATGGTTGCCAAGAGCTCACTGAAATTCCTATCTGTGGCAGGAGATGGAACCTTATTACAAAGAGCTAAAACTGAGATAGTGCTACATGATAAATATGTAGTATTACCTCAGAGCAGAGTGCTGAATATGGCAACTTCTCTAAACACCAGTAACTGCTTTAGTGACATGTATTTCACTTGCCTGGGAGTCACTTGACTCAAACATTCACACTATGGTAGTCTGAGAATGTTGAAACCCCCCAACAAAGGCTACTACTGTAATCCTGAATCAAAAACTTCAGGTTACAATACAGCGCAGGATTCACGATGGTTAAATGATAATTCCAGATGAGCGGGATCTGTTAGCATTCTCAGACTGAAACTATCAAAAAGATGTATTGTTTAAGTTGCCCATCTCAATATTTCATTCAATGCAGGGGAGCAAGGATAGAGACTTCACACATTTCTGTGCTTGTTTCCAGGGGATGAACCATGGTTGCTAAGAGAAAGCAGAGGGGCAAGTATGAGCTCTCTGAAGTAAGAGTCTACATTAAAAATGAAGGCACAGCCCTGTATATGGACAGCTAAATCAGACACAAGGTACAATCCACTGACCAAAAGAATCAGAAAGCTAAGAAAACGTACAAAACCATTCAGCTTTCAAAACTTCCAAATACATCCAGACACAGAATCAGAAACAGAAGCTTTAGTCTTTTAAAAGTGACCTTCACAAATCAGTTCTGTGTTTGTTTCCATTTTCTTTCACAGTTTAAGCCTCAATCAAATCAGCAGTCTCCAGGGATTCTGAAATTGCTATAGATTAAAATCCTCTCTGACTCAACTGTTTGGCTAATGCCGAGTATTTAATAATTCTACTCATAAGAGATGTTTTCTTGATGAAACCCTGCTGTATGCTTTCTTCAGATGCTCTGCAGCTGCACCAAAACAGAAAGCACCACTGTCCTTATTTTATCAATACATTTAGAGATGAAAAAATGTATTGTCATAAACAGGTCTGTTATTTGGCAGATGCAGCAGAAAACAGTTTGACAATACTAATGCAGCAACCATCACCTACAGAGGCAAAGATCTACTCCCAGGTATTAATGATACATATCCACGGCTTGGCTCCAAGGAGAGGAGGTTAATAACTGTGATAGATCGACTAAAAGTTAAGTTAATGAATTTCTAGACTTTATGCTTTCAATAATAAAACCATTTAAGCTACAGCATTTGAACTCTCTACTTCCACAGATCAGGCCCTTTGATACTCAACAGGTTGAGTAAATTGAATCCATATATTGTATTTACGTTCTCTGTCAAGGTTGCTTCTCCACATTTGAGAGATCAAAGGCAAAACAGTCATCAACCCTGTAGCCTTCAATACTGTGTTCATTACATTTAATCAAGTGCCAACCCCACTGCATCATTCACCAACCTTAACAATACTTAAATGCATGGCATTGTTTAGCAACAAATGTAGGCACAGTATTGTTTTAACAAACACACACATGTATACATGCACAACATGCACGCACGTCCCAAAACAAACAAACAAACAAAAAGATGAAGGCAAAGAATCTCATTCTCTCCATTGTGCAGGAAAAGAAATTTAAAATGTACACAACTATCAGGCACACATTTTGAAGGTGGTTCTCTACCTGAGGCAGCATCAATCACGGTGGAAATTCCCCTTCGATCAGAGACTGGACGGGATGACCCTGGCATGCTGACTGGGTCAGAGCGGACCGGCTGGATCCTGTAAGGCAATTTAATTTAATTCACATATGTTACCAGCATCAAAACTGTCGCGTGCTGCAACAGACCTTAAATCAGGAATGCTGGAATAGGCCAATCCATTAAAGAAGCATTCATTCTAAAATGAGACAAAAAGGGGAACCGCAGTCCCTAACTCTTGCACAAATCTAACACACTGCAAATATTTCCTACACTCTGGACCTCTTCTCCTCTTTGTAAGTTACTCAATAGATTTTAAGGGGTTGAAAAATTGACATTAACTGAAAGGGATAAATTTAGTAGGATGGGAATGGAAACAAAATACTTTATACCAAAACCCATGATATTTCCAAGGGACAAATCTGAAGAGTTTTGATACTTTTCAAATTCATGAATAGTACCATACCTAGTAACACCCAACATAAAAGGCAGCATATATTAGATTCAAAATTTTGAGGAACTCCCTTACAATCCTGAATGAAAGTTACTTTATATATGACAAGAAGCATAGGAAAACAAAGCTGTGTTGGAATGTGATGGCCACAGGTTTAGCTAAAATCACTATTATCTGAGTTACCACCATAAAATTATCAATTAGCATGTAAGAATCAATTAGAGTATCAGCAAAACTGCAATATACTACATATAATTTCAAGTTGCTTAGGAATGATAAATCTATAAATGCCAAGAGTTGCTTTCCAGCTGTATTAGATAAATACTATTAAGATTAAAAAGTTGGGGGACGCCTGGGTGGCTCAGTTGGTTAAGCAGCTGCCTTCGGCTCAGGTCATGATCCCAGCGTGCTGGGATCGAGTCCCGCATCGGGCTCCTTGCTCGGCAGGGAGCCTGCTTCTCCCTCTGCCTCTGCCTGCCGTTCTGTCTGCCTGTGCTTGCTCTCTCTCCCTCTCTCTCTCTGACAAATAAATAAAATCTTAAAAAAAAAAAGAAAAGATTAAAAAATTGGTATGATTAGAAGATCTGAGACCCACATGCAACTTAGAAGAATAAAAACCTGTTATAGCAATATAAGCATGCATTTTCAGTAATTCATTCATCCAATGAGTATCTGCTGAATATTAAACATGTGTCAGTATTATTCTAGGGACAGGCAGAAACAAAACATGAACTAGAAGGTCTATGTGTGGATATGTGGTCTAGCACATGACTGATGCAAAAGAAAAGTGTGAAAATGAGTGAAATAGGCAATAAGAGCTCAGAATGAGAAAACGGAGTAATGAATACATGGTCCACAGCAGACTTAAAGATCTCGTGGAGGTGGAACATGAATTGAATGTGGACACAGTCATAGGCTATGTATATATGCAGAGGAGCAAGAAGCACTCCTTCAGCTTAGAATGAGAACAAACAGACCCTTGGATTGGTAACTAAGCATGACAAACGCAGGGCAGCTTGAGGAGCATGATTTGGCTGAAGTACAGAGTTTCCAGGGATCCTGGTGGAAGATAAGAGGTTGATAAATGCCATGGGACAGATTATAGAAGTCTGAAATGCCAAGAACAGACTGCAGAAAAAGAATACTTACTAAAAGCACGGTTTAAATGTTTGTGTATCTGTTTTGTGAGAAAAGTACTGAGAACAAAGACTGGTTGCTGCCATCGCAGACAGCAGGTACCACCTAACCTTTGTTCTACCCCAGCTGATTGCTACATCAGTCATGGTAATCCTATCAGCTCCTGGCAGAAATTAATCAGCTCCATGATGGGCAGGCCTAAGCAAATTTGGGCCAGTGAGAAAAGAGGAGCCATTTATTTGAAATGTCTGGAAAAAATGTTTTCTGGTTCTTAACAGAAATAAGAAAATACATAGTTAGATATGGTCAGTTCATCCAAAGTAAAGCCCCTTCCTGGTCTAAACAACTTAAGTGGGCCAATAAATTTCCTATCATTAATTCAATTTATATCAGGGCTTCTGAATAATCAAGTTGTGGGTGGGGTAAAACAAGGCTGGCCATGAACTGATGTGCTGAAGCAGATACATGGGGGCTTATTCTAGTATTTTCTTTAGTTTTAACTATGTTTATATATGTTCGAAATTTTTCCATAATAAAAATGACAAAAATAAAAACAAACTGGTAGAGGTGATAGAAATGTTCTGGAACTGGATAGTGGGGATACCGTCCAACATAGTGAATATACTAAAAACTGCTAAATTATACCATGAATTTTATGTTATGTGAATTATGTATCACTTAAAATAAAATAACATAAATGAGGTCTGAGGATCAAATGTATAACACGATGACTGTAGTTGATAACACTATATTATATAACCGAAATTTGATGAAAGTAAAACTTTAGATGTCCTCACTAAAATAATCACAATACATATATACTAAATATGTGAGCTGATGGATGTGTTAAGTAACTAGATGAAAAAAATAAAACAATAAAGTAAAAGGAGCTAATCTTGAGTAGAAAACTAGACTTTGTATCTTACCTTCTTTTACATGATCTATTTCTCAGATCTAAAAATAAATATTTCATTGACCTTTTTTTAGTTTAACTCCTGGCTCCAAGTAAGGAGCTGCCATGAGTTTAAGCTAACCCTGGTTCCCTTCTGGACATGACAGTCAACTCTATACCCGCCTGCTCCCCACTTAGGGTAGGATATAGGGAGGTAGACTGTCACAGCATCACATCATTCTTAGTGCTGTCTTGTGGAGTACAGGAAAGGTACCAGGTGTAAAGAGTCGGCTGAATAAAAAACATCTAATAAATCTTTTACAATTTGAAGGAGAATATAAGGATAACAGCCATAGTGCCATTGTACATAGCCTAAAGAAATGCAGAAGAAATAGAGATGAAGCACTCAGAGCAACAGGAAACAGGAATGGGGAGAATATAAATACTTGGATTTCTAATTGGATGCTAGGCCGGAAATGGTACTAAAGAGGCCACTTATAATTCAAATTATGTAAGTTGAATCTGAATTTCCCATCAAAACTGTGTTCTAATGGAAGTTAAGGTTTTAACCAAGGGCCCATATGCTCAGATTTTTAGATATAAATTATAAGAGCAATCAAAAGAAATGTATAAGCCTGTGACTCAGTATAAAGGTATCTAAAGTTTAGATTTATCCAATCAACAGGACCATAATTGGGGCGCCTGGGTGGCTCAGTCAGTTAAGCATCTGACTCTTGGTCTCAGCTCAGATCTTGATCTTGGGGTCCTGAGTTCAGGCCCTATGCTGGCTGTGGAGTCTATTTAAAAAACAAAAACAAACAAACAAAAAAAAAACCAGGACAATATCCTAATCAAATACAAACAGCTTAAAATCATTTAAGTGACAAATACTGGGAGTGCTTTAGTGTAAGAAAAAGGAAAGCCCCTGAGGAAAATTGTAGAAAGAATTTAGGACAGGGGCTGTCTAAAGATGCACGTTAGAGAGCTCTTAGGTGAAGGGCTATGTTTGAAGTAAAGAGTCATGAAGCAAGCTGGAGGTTACAAAGCGAAGGAACAGAGCTGCATATATAAGAAGCTAGAGATATCCTCCAAAGAAAAGGGACAAGGGCTTATTATAGTACCAGGTGACAGTCATCAGAGAAAAAAAAGGATCTTGTGAATAGTTCAATAAAAAGAATAAACACAGTTTTATGGGTTGTCTATTTAAAATGCCTTATTTATTACCATTTGAGTACTCAAATGATTTATAAACATGAATGACTACACACTGAATCATTAAATTGAGGACTGACAACTTCCTGAAAATGGACATTCTACAGCAGATCACATTTGACAGTTAGTACCAGTGAAAATGGGTTTAGCACTCAGTATTGACACTATTGCCTGACATCTTGAGGGAAAAGTTCCACTTCTGAAAAGCTGAAAGACATGCTAGGTTTAAAAAAAAAAAAAGCAAAAATGTATGGAAGAAAGAAAGTACAAACAAAAAATTAAGACACTGAAAAAGATATTATAGGAGACATGTTTCCATTATACCAATTACTTTTATTTTTAAAGCAAACCCTACACCCAACGTGGGGCTTCAACTCAGGACCCTGAGATCAGGAGTCTCATGCTCTACTGACTGAGCCAGCCAGGCACTCAATGAATTACTCTTAAGGAAGAAACATTAGGCCTCATCTACAACAGCTTTTGCATTGTTAGACAAACAGATACTGACAAAAAGACATATAAAAATGTATTTCCAATATATAACTGGGACACATTTTTCATAATTTTTAAAGGAAAAGGTCTATTTTATATTCAAGTAAGATATTTTTTTGTAAGAGAAGACAAGGTAAGGGAGATTACATTGCATTAGACTGAGCCCTTTATTGTTGAATCAGAATGTGTCAGGTCTGGATAGAACAAATTAAACTGGTAGGCAAACCTGAGACTACAAAAGTCAAAAAGTTCTCAGTTGCTTTAGAAAAAAATCTTTAATAATAAAAAGCATACTTCATAAACTTTATACTGTGATTCTTAAAGTGAGGGCCAGAGCACGTATATGATGAATAAGTGTGTGTGTGTGTGTGTGTGTGTGTGTGTGTGTATTAAACTATAAGTGAACTTATATCAATTCTTTCTCATCCAAAAACTTTTTAAAGCCTAAAAGAAGGAATAAGTAGGATTTAGATGAAGTTAGTTGAAAGATGAAGATCAGGAAGGGAGGGTACCCTCAGACTTTAAGCAGTTAGAAATATGAGGAAGGCAGCATAAAATGAGATTTTTTTTTAAATGCACTGAATATTAGATTTAGGGAAATACAATCTGAAACACAAATATTTATTGAATATAAGGAGATCCCATGTAAGATCCCCAGCAATAATAATGAATCATAAGCTACGCTGGATGTATTTTGTACCACAAAACTGTGCCGAAAAGGAAAATGTCAATATTACCTAGGATGCTCAATAAAAATGAATATATTAATCCAGTCAAATTACTCCTTAGTTCTTCTTACCTGAGACTGTTGAGATCAAGATCATCTGTGTCAAAATCCAAAAGGGGCTGTGGAGTATCACTTGGACCGTGAGACTGCAACACAGATGAACTGGATGATATGACTGTGGTTTGGCCTGAGGGATGGATGGTTTTGAACTGGAACTGTGGACCCATCCACAGACGTCTGTGGGGTCCGGTGTGCGTTACAATTTCTACCTGGAACAGATTACAAATCATGACTTAAATGTCTTATGACCTCCTTTTAAGAGCCTATCTCGATCTTCCCATCCTGCCTCCAAACACCCTCCACGCCCATCTTAACCCAGTGGGAGAGGTACAAGGCATTCACATTCCAAAGGCAATGGTAATCACAGCCTATATACTCATTCTCTACATCCCTCTACTGGTTTTTACCAAAATAAATAAAAAATTCATTTTGTGTGTGTGTGTATTTATATAGGTGTGAGCATACACATGTACACACACACACACACACACACACACACACACGTTCCACACGTAATACAACATAAAAGTCAAAAAGTAAAAAGACCAGTTGCCTGCCTCTCATATAACTAGCACCAATTCCCTAGGGACTACCTTCTTCATTCATTCATTCATTCTAGACAGCACTTACCACTTACTACACCTATCAATCCACAGATTAAAAGTAATTCCTTCACTGAGGATCAAGCTCATGACAAACTAGAAGCTGTTCTTGAACTATCCAAGGAAAGGAAAAGGTCTGAAATAATTTTTAACACCCAAAGCCAGTTTCTTTCCATAATTAAATATTGGAATATTTACTATGCTACCCTCAAATCCCCCCAAATCAACTTTTAAATGAAGAGAGTAGTATATACTTTCTCTCAGACTAGATTTGTCTTCAAAATACCATTATTTAATTAGAATGTTTACTCCACTACCACGAACACTGACACAGGTTTAAGTGCTATGAAACAGTAATACTGTTTTAGAATTTCATGCTCTATGGAAGGGACAGGGAATGGTGCCAATATTAAAGACTTTAGAGACAAAGCAGAGTGTAGAAGATACAGAATAAAACCTGAAGACAAACATATCATATGATTTTATAAGTGAGCAACTAGAAAAAGAGACTAAATATGCAAACGTTTGGTGAAAGACTACCTCTTCAAGTCTTTAATTGCTATATCTGTGTATATACACTTTATGGAACTGACTTCCCATGCGCCATAGTTTTATCCTGAGTTCTTTCATATTTAATCACATTTCTCTGATAGTGGTGATTAATTCCTAACAAAACATAACTGAAAAGGTTCACAGAATGCAGCTCTGTGTTTGGTAAGTCCTAAAGGGCAGAAGCATCACGGTCTTGGAAAAATATTCTCATTCCCACTAATCACAGGGCGAAAAATACTCAGATTTAGGACAGCAATTTCTGATTCAAGTAGTTGTATTCTGCAATGTAAATTAGGCCACAGATAAAGCATTCTGTGTATTTTAAGCTCAAAACCATCCGTGTCACAGAGCCGAGAGGTAAACAGATGCCTATGCAATTTCACTGAGGCGATGGCCAGATGTTTCTATTCACTCTCCTGTTGTGTGCAGTACAAACATATTGTATATACTTTCACACTGACAGCACACATTACCCCTTTTTCTAATTGAAAAGTTGAAGGGAAGGACAGTGCTTTCTTTGCCAGCATTTTTGTTGTTGTTGTTTTTTACTTTACTGTGGTATCCTCAAGACAGGAGGCACCTCCATATACCAGGAACCAAAGCACTGGCCCTCCTTCAAGAGGCTTCCTACGAGTACTTCAGGTGTAATGAAGTGTATGTCACCTAGAAACAATGTGGATGCTCTGGATTCCAGATTCCTTTTAGTTTTTCAGGCTACCCTCCCTGAGAAAGCAGTGAAACTGCAAGGCCTCCATGAGGCACCTGTCTGATGACAAGCTGCTTGGATTGGTAATCTGAGACAGGTCATTAACTTCACCAAATGATGTCAGACTTGAGGCAGACATAACAGCATTTGTAATGAAGTCATTCGTAATCTCATCATTTTGAAATCTGCCCAAGTATCTTTTATTTCAAAGCCCTTGAGATGAAGACGGCTTCACCTGGCAAGGGGAGGAAGGGTCAGCTGGAGCGGTCACAGGATGGACTTAGAGACCAGTGCAGGCAGCAGTCCAGGAGCCGAGGGAAGAAACCCAGCTGGGCACAATCAGGACGTGTGCAGATTAGAAGGCTGACCTTTTTTAATCAGAGTATGGGTCTAATCTTCAGAAAATGTTGGCTCCACAAAACATAGCCAACACATTGTTGAATGGCTTCACGGTTTCAACAAGACCAATTCTCATTTTAATCTAAATAGTCCATCTAAAACCTAAGGTTCTAAGGGATATCAATGGATTGTCTGAAAGCTATGCATATTTTATACCCTCTGTATGAAAGCTAATGTACACACACACACACACACACACGTATATAATACATATAAAATATATGTGTATGTATCCTTGCAGCAGTAGTTATAAGAAATTCTTAATATGGAAAGACATCTGATTAATTCTTGATGATCCCACAAAGAGTTCCCAAGTCTGCCCATTCTCCTCTAAGGAAAATAATTTTTAAGTTTGCAGAATTCAAGCATAAACACAGACAATGGATCTCTGTTTTCTTTCACTTTAACAGGCCAAACATTTTAGAGTTTTACCTGAGAAAGCCATTCTTCATCTTCCTGTCCACTATGGTCAGAAGCTAAACTGTCATAGGACCCATGCCGAGTAATGGGCCCCGGACTTCCAGGGGGAACCACTGGAGGAGAAAGAAAACATATTTAAGCAACTTTAACTCACGCAGTGGAAAAATTCATGTGGCCGCAACCATCCTGGTTACTGTGTTAATTTTTAAGATAAAATAGGACATTTAATGCACAAAGCCAATTCAAATAATTGATGAATAAGAAAGACTGAATTTCTTAGGAATAAGAAAGATTTCCAATGAAGAGTACACTTTAAAAAGTATCTACAGGAATTTCATCATGACAGGTATCAGTGTAAACGAAGTAACAACCAACTGCACCTTAGGAGCATGAGTACATTAAGGAGTAGTGACAATTCCATCACATGTGCTCAGGATTCAGCACATTTCAGTCATCTCCAATTAACAAAGAAATGAATTTGATGCAGTTCCTATAATTTGGGAAGGAATTTTTAAAACAAACATCAATATTCTTTAAGAGCCTATTTAGTAGTTTCATATAAATTAAAAGGCATAAATATGCATTTTTAACTTAAAAAAACTTCCTGAAACATTTCATTCATCCAAAGAAATATTTCATTTTCTTGGATACTTCAGTAGTTTCCCCAATTCTTAGGTGGTAGAATACAGTTACAAAATACCAAAAAAAAACAAAAACAAAAACAACACCAAAAAAAACCAAAGAGCCTATTTTCTCATACAGAGAAGAACCTTTGCTTAGTCAAAGTAATAAAATTATTCAACATTTATTGAATTTTTATTTTTTGGATTTTTTTAAAGATTTCATTTATTTGATAGGGAACGAAAGAGAGAATGCTGAGGGAGAGAGTACAAAGAAGCAGACTCCCCACTAAGCAGAGAGCCTGACATGGAGCTTGATCCCAGGATCCTGAGATTATGATCTGAGCCAAAGGTAGATGCTTAACAGACAGCCACCCAGGTGCCCCAATTTTTTGGAATACTTTTCAGTTAACAGCAAAACTGATCAGAGGACACACTGATTTCTCATATAATCTCTGCCTCCATCTATGATCTTAATACTAAAAGAAATAAAGCAGTGAAGTACTGGGGGAAGTAGGAAAAAAAGGGGAAAAAAGAGGAAGAAAAGTATGTGAGTACTAAAAAAAAAAAGAAGAAATAGAAAAGAATGAGAAACCAACAATTATCTCATAATTTCCATCACCCAGAGGTTTGTGTGTATGCATCTACATATGCTAATTCGTTAGGCTACATTCCTAAAAATGAAAGAAAAGGATATGAACATATTTAACTCTTCTTTTTTAAAAGACTTTACTTATTTATTGGACAGACAGAGATCACAAGTAGGCAGAAAGGCAGGCAGAGAGAGAGGGGGAGAAACAGGCTCCCCGCTGAGCAGAGAGCCTGATGCGGGGCTCGATCCCAGGACCCTGAGATCATGACCTGAGCTGAAGGCAGAGGCTTAACCCACTGAGCCACCCAGGTGCCCCCTATTTAACTCTCTTAATGCTGATTAGGAGTTATACCTTCACAAGCAGTGACTGACAATACTAATCTCACTGCACTCTTGTCAAAGTATTCTAAAGAACTAAATCTTAGTGAGATAGAGAAGAACCTAGGGCAAGATTTTAAAGGATGCGTGCTCAAAAAAACCTAACTTACTTGCTGATGGAGGAGAAGTGGTACCTAAGCTATCAATTACCATCCAGAAAGGGATAAATAGTATTAAATTGTAAGATTTGCAGTGGTGAAAACAATTAGCTACTATTTTTTTCAAAATCATAGTTCTACTTCTAAGTGGCATGCTGCCATTTGGCATAAAACACCATTGATCACCACAGAATAACATCTAATTTCTTACAATTCTCAATGATTATCATAAAGAAAAGAGCATCATAATAATTATCTAATTAATATCTGAGCATCCTCTTGGGAATAATTTGGTGTATATTATAAAACTGTTAAGTAAATTTATGCTTGCAAAAGGCTGAGTTGTTCCTAAACCATTTATCTTTTCAATAAATACATTTAATACTAAATTCTTTTTTAAAAAGATTTACTTAGGGGTGCCTGGGTGGCTCAGTGGGTTAAGCCTCTGACTTCGGCTCAGGCCATTATCTCAGGGTCCTCGGATCGAGCCCCGCATCGGGCTCTCTGCTCAGCGGGGAACCTGCTTCCCCCCATCTCTCTCTGCCTGCCTCTCTGCCTACTTGTGATCTCTCTGCCAAATAAATAAATAAAATCTTAAAAAAAAAAAAAAAGATTTGCTTATTTGGGAAGGGTGCGGGGGAGAGAAGGAATTTCAAGCAGATTCCCACTAAGTGTGGAGCCCAGGGAGGGCTTACTCTCACAATTCTGAGATCATGACCTGAGCTGAAATCAAGAATCAGAAGCTTAAACCGACTGAGTCACCCAGGCACCCCTGTATTAAGTTTTTAATACAGAAAAAGTGGATCCTTCAAACCCTCTATAAATAAGAGTCAAGAAGGTGACTAAGGACAAATATCTAAAGGTCAGGACATACTTTGGAAAGGAGTTGAGGGCAGAGAAGATTTTAAAGAGGTGAGGGTATGGGCCATGAAGATATGTGAGGGGAAAGTGTCACAAAGAGAATATAAAGTACAAAGATTTTGAAGTGGGAGCATAAGGAAAACGTTTTGATAATTATAAGGAGGTGACACGGTTGGGTGTGGTAAGGCAGGCTGAAAATAGAAGATGAGTCAGTAAAACAAAGGGGGTGGGGAGGGAGGACCAGCAGATGGCTTAGGGCTCCCCCCACCCCAATAAAGCTAGGGTATTGTGAAAGATAGATATCAGAATGTTGTAAAGAGAAGTGAGAAACTGCATCCTTGTATAACTAACTAGTATTTAATGAGAATGTTTTCAGGAGTTCACATTGCATTCTATATATGCTGAGCCCAGGCTAGTACCTGTCACAGAATAAGCACTCTGTAAGTATTAAGTGAATGGAATTTTGGATTTTGGACTATGCAAGGACACCAGAATGGTTGGACATTTATTTATCCCTTATCAAAATGGGATAAACTTAATAAGAGTGCAGTGTCGGGGAAGGGGTAAGGAGTAGGATTGTAGTTGAAACAAGATTAGTCATGAGTTGATCATTGTTGAAGCTGGATGATAGGTACATGGAGAGTCATTTACACTATTGTTTTCTAATTTTGTGTATGTCTGGCATTTCCCATAGTAAAAGGTTCAAAAGAGAAGAAAAAGAATCCCTCCTCCCAACTATCTCCCTACTTTCCAAAGAAAGTGAAAAAATACGAAATACATATCTATGAAACATTAAATCTGAATCCTGAATTCCTAAATAGAGATTTTAAGAGTTCCATACCTTATGCTCACTAAAAAATAATTTTCCAATAGCTTTGAAGCATCCAGAAGATTCATAATAAAAAATAAAAGTCTGATGGGGTAACATTTTTAACATCAAATAAATATCCTTCCCTCTCCCTCATTTTTGTGTTTAAAAATTTTCCCCAATCCAGGTGGGAAGAACATTCCACATTCACTACTTTAAGGAAGCAATGACATGCCAAGTCAGGATGAAAAAATAATTAAAAACTCTGACCCTGGCATAAGAAAAAAACCTGAAAGTATGATAATTAAGAGCAAGGCTTCCATACTTTCTAACCAGCCAATTATTAGGAAAGATTGAGATTAGAGCAAGAGTGCCATCAGCAGAAAGGGGTAAAACAAGGGTCCTTAGGGAAGGGTAAAAAAATAACAGAATCCCATGAGTTTTAGGGATAAAACATCTGTAAAAAATACTATCTTCATTCTCGGGTAGAGTTCAAAGAAATAGCAAGAAATCCCACCTGGTTCAAGAGAAGAAGTGTGCACACAGAGTGTCTACACAGTCAAGTCTGTGATAATCTCTCCAAGTTCCCTGTGGATCAGCTGAGAATAGTCCTTCATATGTGTACAAGAGGAACAGGGATGAGATTCAGAGAACTGACAGGCTTTGGAAAGGCTTTGAAGTAGAAATAAGGATGGATTCTACAGAGACCTATCAGAACCTGTAACCAGTGATCAGGTAGGGAACTGGGACATCCCCCAGTGGTAACAATAAGGATAAAACATCTCCAACTCTCCCATCTCTTATCTTTGCACTCTGTAAGTTCTATAGAATTTAGAAGCAATTTTGGAGGGGCGTGTAACTGACTGAGATTAATTTTTCCACATTTGTTAGAAAGAAGGCATGAAGGAGAATTATGTAAGAGAGTTTGTTTATAGAAAAAAAATCAAGTTCCACGTCTCACAAGTCTGAGTTTAATGGACCAACATAGACAACTTCTATATAAAGAAAAATGTTTAGTATCTTTTATATTTACCAACTATTCTTAGATCATTAATAAACTTGGGACAGGAAAAGAATGTGGAATTTTGTAGTAAAAATCTCTGCCATATTCCTTCTCTACCTTAGGAACAGTAATTTAAAACAAACCTAACTAGAAAGGTTATACTGCCAATTTCCTATAGAGAATACAACTTCAAAAGTACTGCCTCTACACACAGGCATGTAGTAAGTATAGATCAACAAGCAAGGGCAGGATGAGCAGATCATTATGAGGTAACTGTGAGCCAGACTTTGTTTATATTGTGTTCTCAGGAAAGCAGATCATGCTTCTAGTGAGTAAATAAATGCTAAAAAAAAATCACGAAGTGTATTTTGCTGTCTTACAGTGATAGATGAGTGTGTCTATGTGTACATATGTGTTTCTATGTATATATTTATATATTTTAATATGTGTTTATGTGCAAATCAAACAAAAATGTTTCACTGCCGACCTTTGCAAATTAGTCCTGTTAATCTAAACCCCAAAACGTTCAAATCAGTAGAACAACATAAGTAAAATTATGAACAGGCAGATGAAACGCACCTTTGATAACGACCCTAAGTCTGAATCCCACAACAAAATTCTTAATATTATAAAGTGGAAAATGTCAAGCCATAATATAACTTCTCAAATATGTAAATAGTTTGCACAAGTTCTCTGGTTTTGACTTTTTAGATGTCTTCTGCACTGTAATGTAAGGATCAATCAGTATAGAAT